CAATCCAAACCATTCTATGATTCTATGGACACAATGCAAAGAAATTATTTTTGAAACATTTGAGGGGCTTCTCCCAAGACCACTTCTTCCCTTTAAAGTGGAATTATTCCCACAGGGGTAGAGGGTAAATCTAGTCTTTCTTTTCTCTCTCTCTCTCTCTTTTTTTTTTTTTCCTCCTGCTCATTTTCATGAAGTACGTTGGGACAGATAAACATGATAGGTTTATACAAAAATTTCAGGAATAATGTCCTGTTACCTATACCTGAAGGAAATCTTTACCCATACGTCTCATTGCATTACACTGCAACCTACTTAGAGAAGTGGTAACAGCTGGAGTAGAACCCAGTGTCAAAGGCTGAAATAAATTCCTTGAAATGGTTTTAATAACAATAGTAGTGCTGAGTCAGCTCAGTGCCCATTTACCCCAACAACCTGTCCCTACTGCCAGTGGCATAGGCATCCAGGAGGAAAATGGAAACAGGAGAGTCACTCCAAATGTGGCGTGACTATCATAGCTTCTAGCAATTAAGGCTTAGACAAAACCACCGTCAAAGGAAGTCCCATTTCATATTTAAGACTTGTCCTTGACACCTTCTCATTGGGAAAGGGCTATTTTTCAAAGGCTTTTATTTATACAGATTTAAGACAGATGGCACCCCAGTATCAGTTGTACTGTTGGATTTTTTGTTTTAATGTTCTCTAAGGGTCCCTCACTGGGATTGTTTCAGAAGTAACAGGAAGGAAGAATAAATATGTCTCTAGTAAATGTTCTTGGCATGTCTAGATACAGAGTTATGTACAGATAACAACCCTAAACTATCTCTTAGGGAATCAACTTCAGTTTTGCAAGATTATAAAGAACAGTGTTACTGCTAGAGAAAAGTCTATCCTTCAGAGTATTTATCTCTGTAGATTTTAATCTCCAGTTAAATTAGTTTGTTCTAATTTTAATTTATTTTTAAGTTTAAAGTTAGGAGCTTTCTATAAACCCTGCATTCCCTAAATACAGTTAAGAAGGAAAACAATCTGTCCAGGCATTTGTAAGTATAGCTGTATGAAGCCAAGCCCTGTGGGGGCCTGTGGCACGAGGGAGGGAGGGAAAGATATTATTTTATTTATATTTTAAATATTTTTTTAAAGTACATTTATTCTTTTAATAATCTCCTTTTATCCTGCTCTTTCACAATTGTGGCTTCCTTTAGCCCTTTCTACTGTCAGTTGTTTGTGATGGGGTAGATGCATTTGGTTTTGGACCTTCCATACCGTACCTTTAAGTAGTTTCAATGTGTCTCCAAAACACTTTAGGATTTTTTGTATTTTCCTTGAGGTTTTTTTGGTTTTGCTTTTAAGTTTAATTGCAAAAAGGGTGTGTTCTGGTTTAGTTTTTATTGTTTCTGTAGGGATATCTAGTGCATTATGGTCATTGCTTCAGAGTGTTTTTCAGAACCTTTTGAAACAGATCCTATGCATCGCTCAGGATCCAGCTAGGAACTTTACTCTTGTAAGCAGCTTGACTAGCTAATCCACAAAATAGTCATTGGAAAATGTATTTAGAGATTCAATTTCAGGACCACGTTTGCAATGGGAACACTTTACTTTTCTCTTATTTACTGTGAGCTTTATGTTCAAAAAATTGTCAAAACTCCTGTAACAATTTAAAAGTCTAGTTTCTGGTGACAAAGATGTGTGAGAGAAAAATTTTAACTACTTGAGCAAATGAAGATAAAGTCTAAATAAATTGTTAATAAATAAAAATCTTACATTTGATAAAGTGCATGGATGTAGTAAACACTTGGGGAAAATTAAAGGTTATGGTCAAAATAAACAAGATAAACTCTGTCAAATTAAATGTGAACTGTAGGAAAGAAAGCTAAAAAGGATCGAGAAGTTGAGGAAATACTTGTTAATAGCGTACAACTGAGTTTTTTCTCCTTCTCATGATACAAAAAAAAGAGGAACTAAAAGAAACTTTTAGGCTTCAGATTTAAACACATGGAAATATTTCTTTTCATGTGGCATAATTGAATGGAGAAACTCACTATTGTTGTGCTGGCAGAAAACAGATGTGAAAATGGTATCAAAAGACCTTCTAAAAAGAATTAAAATAGTCCAGAGTGCAGAATCACAGGTCATTGTAGTCTGGGAAATATATTTCTCCTATTCTTTGTTTGTTTTTCTTCTGGTTATCTTCTATGGGCTGCAAAGACCGCATTCAGTAAACTGTGCTTCTTATGTGATACAGTACAGCTGCTGTTATATTCTTACAAGACTGTCCTCATTAAACTGTAATCTAGCTCAGTGATCTGTACATTACAGGGGTCAAATATTGCTGGGATATTATGATCTGAATGAATAGAATTTGCTTACTAAATGAACCTTTAAGTTGTACATTATGTTACGGTGCAATTCCGTACGGCATTGACTGTTAATGGACCCAGCCATAGATCTTAGGGGATAGAACCATTTCTAACTTTATTATAAGGTTAAAAGTTGTTGACTTATTACCCTCAAATGCAGTTTGTTACTATTTTTACTTCAATTTGTCATCATGTTATTATGGATTTTCAAATGAGCGTATTGCTTCCCAGTATTCATAACATAAATAGTTCTGATGCTATGAAGTGCCAAGATTGCGGTTTCAGTTGCAGGTTTTAATTGACCTTGCTTATCTGTGTCATGTTGTTATGAGATTATATATATATGTGTGTGTGTGTGTGTATTTATATAAATATCTCTACTATCTCTATATATAGTTAGATAGGTAAAAATAGAAATTACATAGTTTTAAATTGTGTGTTAAAAAATATATACCTATTTTTAAACTGTACAGTCACATTACATTCTTTCCAGGGAAAGCAATGGTCACCTTCCTTTCACATAGACCCCTGTCATGTTGTTGTCTTCCAGTTCCCCAAACTGGTCATTGTACCAAAATGATTCTGCATAGTTTTATCTTTTGAATAGTCTAAAAGAAATTCGTGTTGAATGTTTACAAGAATGTCTTGGTACTATTATTGTAGGGAACCTGCTTTGGCAGCGGGGTTCGACTAGATCATCTCCTGAGGCCCTTTCCAACCCCTACAGTTCTGTGCTTTATTTCTGTTTAAGGGATTGATAAGATTTGCATTTGCTTGAAAATCTCATAGACAGAACCATCACACACAGAGCACAGGCTTCAGATGATTTGGATAATGGATATCCTGGATGCAGCAACTCTCACCTTCGTTTTCTTTTGATAGTACCTTGTGGCCATCAGTTGTCAGGGGGGAGGGCGCAGGGGTCCTGCTGTTCTGCTCTTACTGTAAAAGTAATTTATTTTTTCTTGACTTAATCCTAAAATGGCACCATGAGCAACTTCGTTTTCTTCACAGTTTCACTAACGTTTTTATAAGAAGTTTCCATCAGACTCCTAAACACAACTGAACAGTTCTTCATTGTGCAGGCTAGGTCTAAGGAGCCTAATGTGGGCGAGTTTGGGCTCTACTGTAGAATCTGGAACAGGATGCCCTATAGAGGAAGCAAATTTCCTCCACTCACAGCAGTGTCTGGGTTTGTTTAAGCTGCTTTACATCCTCCTTGCTTAGTTCCTTCTTCCATTTTCTCTAACTGGGCAGTCTCTTCAGAAAGGTCTTCAGATTTCATTTGTCCTTTTGTTATAACCCATATCTTCTTAGCCAGTCTCCTTGCCCAGCCAGTCTCTCCCTAGCTGTAGCTTGGAATTTAATCTGTTGGTTTTTGGTTTTAGTTCTCATTTTGTAGAATCATTGACCAATTCCCTTGCCAAATCAGAGTCTCAAACTTTCTTCTAAATTCCTTGTTGAGTCTCAGCATTAGTTTGTTTTCAGACCCAGTGTGACTCACAGCAGCGGCAGAAGTTCTTGGAAAAGATCTGCTCAACTCTGCTTGACCTGCATGGAACTTCAGGAAAAGCAACTGCTAAAATCCAAGTCTGAGTTGTGTGCAAATAATCTTTTAGCCTTGTAGCATGGGCAGAACAGGTGGGGCTTCTTTTACCATCTTCTATAAATCTATCTCTGAGATACAGGGCAGCATCTGCAAAATTTCAGGCCCTTGACGTTGCATTCCCAAAAATGGGATGCAAGAACTGTTCAGGGAAAAACTTACATTACAATATATTAAAAGAGTTTCTGCCTCCTCTCTCCCTTCAGAAAGGGCTCAGCTGTTTTTGGCTTAAGCCTTGCTTAGTGGATCATCCAGCTCAGCAGGCCTAGCTCATTGAATTCCTAAATATGACTGTTTTTGCAAGTTTCTGAATATTCCAGACAACTTTGATTTTTTTTAGAAAAATAACCATCTCTGTCTAGTGCTTCTCATGGTTATATTAGATAAAAGTGGATTTGGGTACACACACTATCAATGAGACCTATGTAGAGCTTTCCTGAAGTGGGGTATAAATTCTGTGTTAGTTATTTCCCAAAAGTAACGTGTCTTCTCTTATGTATGCTTCAGGAGATGGTAACATAACTCTGTGCTGATTTGAGTGGTTATGATGGCAGTGGTGATGTTTTGAAGGGGATGTAATTTTTTAACAGACTTGGCTTTGTTATATGTTGTAATAACATGCATTTTTTATGTATAGACTGAGATACAAAATATATTGTCGTAACAGTGCAAAACAGAACTAACAGTGTGCTGCAGTTTAGCCCATAAAAATGAAATGTATACTTTCTTTTTTGTTTTAGTTTTGTTGGAAACTGTGAAATTGATTTGGAGATCAAAAGATACTTCTGCAGAGCTGGTGTGAAAAGTATACAGGTGAAATTATATTTTTTTTCTTTTGATTTTGATACCAAGTCATCACTGAGTCATTATTTTCTAATGAAATAGTTTATAAGAAAGAAACAGTAATTGTGTTGTTTTATTGCTTACTATTTTTTTCTCAGTTGCATAGTATTGATATTGTATAATAATTTCAGTAGCATGATTTAGTTGAAAGGGTAAATTCCTTTCAGATGTAGAACTGTGTTAAATTTACAACGTTTTCTCCTGGAAAAGATGGAGATAATTTAACATCAAGCCAATGTTCATGTGATGTTTAGGTTTGTAAAGGGAATATGGTGCTTAAAATTTAATTTTATTTAATATTTCATTGTTAGATGCAATTTTTATTAGTAGTCTTGCTTACTGATATTATTTTTCAAATTTCCTTAACTTTTTGATAACAGATCTCTTTCTCTAATGAGGAAAAATAGTGTGGTTTTTGTGTGTGTGTCTTGACATATGTATAAGCATTTACCTACTTTTGTTCTACTATTTGTGGATGCCATTGTATTGGTTTGTGCCAGGTTTGTTTACATTAAGCTATATAAATAATCTACTTCGTATTTTTAGCAAAATTATCACTAACGTGACACAGCATCATGTAGATGAATGTAGTGAATTTGTAAGCCTGTGTTAATTTTGGGGGGTTTGGAGGACATGTAAAGATATATATATTTAATTCTTTCATAATCAAGAACTTAATGAATTAGAAGGGTGAGCATCTGCAGTGAATAAATTTTATTTAAAATTTGAGCTAATGTAAGTTCCATTGACTTTTTTCCTTCCCCTTCCGCAGATCCATGGCACTATGAGGGTTATCCTGGAACCACTAATTGGAGACATGCCCCTAATTGGAGCACTATCCCTTTTTTTCCTTAGGAAACCTGTAAGTACTTTATTTCTCTTTCTACTCTTTTTAGAGTGCTGATGACAGTTGTCAGAAAACGATGGAGCAAGATTAAGCAGCAAAAGGAAAGAATTTGGGAAATTGGTGCCATTTGGTTGAACTTTCCCAGAAAAATAGTGGACAAATTTTATGAATACTAGAAGAAACCAATAATAATAATTACCTTGGAGTTATGAGTTGTGTTTTGTCAAAGCTGTCAAATTTTTCTTACAAGTCTTCTCGTCAAGGGAAGATCAATAGATACCATCTAGGTTTTTTGTTAAAAAGTTTTTGTTGCTCTTTCTCATGCTGGTCTGCAGGTGAGCATGGTCTAAGTTAAAATTCCACAAGATATGTGCTAGGTTGTTTTGAAAACCATGCTGGTGTTACCACAAATTAAAATCAGAATGGATGTATTGAGATTACCCACTACGATGGTTGAAGTTTTTATCTTAGATGGCAAGTGGGCAATTTCTGTTACATTTACCAATGAATGACCCAAGTATGAGAATGGATGAAGCACAGAGTGAGATGGACTTGGAATTCAAAGCAATCATGACAGTGGCAGAAGTTGGAGGGGGAGATGGTGTCACATAATTCAACTGGAATATGTGCTATGCCAGAGTGCGTATTTTGGCAGGAATAATAGTGAAACAAAGATAAGCCAACAAGGTCTTGCTGGTATGAAAATAACATAATATATTATGTGTAAGCAAGAGGATAACCCACATGATGCTTTCAGTTTTAGGCCTGTACTTCAACAAAGATACTGACCAGTTGGAGAGTGTGCAGAGTAGGGAGATGAGAATAAACTTGATCCTCAAGGAGAGAGCAAAAGAATGTGAATTGTTTAGTTTAGATAAGACCAAAGAGAACATGTTATTCAAAAATGTGAAAGGCTCTTACAGAAAAGAAACACACAATCTATTCTGCATATTCCTTGCATATAGGATAACAAATAATTGCAGCAAGGAAGATTCAAGCTGGACAAGGGGGATGAGGGAAGTCCTGAATGGTAATGGTAGTGAAGCGCTGCAGTAGGCTGCCTGGAAACACTGTGAATCTCTGTCACTGATGTCTCTTAAGAACAGGTTGGACCTGCATCCATCAGGATTGACATAAGGATAGCTCTTGCAGAACACTTCACACAGATGGGCTCTTGAGGTTGTATCCAACCTAGTGAGTCTTGTAGAAGGTGAGATCCTGGGCAGTTTAACTAGCATTACCTAGAAGGGTGACGGTGACTTAATAAGAAACAAAATACTTCTTAGTAATTAAGAAAGGTTTTCATTTTAAATAATAATTATGTACAAGCTGAAATTGTTTTTGAGGTATTATAGCATTTGTATAGGTTTCTACAGTGGTTTACCACATTTTTTTGTAGAAGTGACTGATTTCTTTATCTAAATGAAACTGTGATATACTTTAGAAATCTTTCCTAGGATTCCCTGTTCTTTAGTACCCAAAAACCAAGGAAAGTGGCTGGGGATTTTTTGGCTTAGCCAGTATCAATTTGTATCGTGGAGTCTGGCACCAAAATGATACGCATTCTTGCAGGATTCAATAATATTTTAGTAATTCCAGGCATATTTAAATTCTTTTGAATTAAGAGAATGATTCTTAGCTCACTGAAGAGGAAGAGAACTGCATCTGAGTAAATGGAAGAAAATGAGTTGAAAAAAATTTTCTGAGGCCACAAACTTTTCTGAATTCTAGCCTATCACAAACTTATCACTTATCACAAACATCTGGCAGTTACTTTTCATGAAAATCTGTGGTTTTTATGGCTGTCTTGCCTTTTCATGTGGAACTTAAATGTGATCTTTTTAAAATACAGTAAGTGCAAAGTTTGAAACTAATACAGTTTTTGAAAGCTGGGAACCTGGGTGGTGCAGTCATACAATTTCAGTTCAACACTTTCCTCAACATTAAAATGTCGAGGAAAGATGTATGTCACTGAAGTTTGCACTATGATAAGGCACTATAGATAGTGGATTGTTGCACCTTGGAGTCATTGTTTCACTTTGAAAGCTGTAGTCTGAATCTTGCAGGTAAGACTGGCTGACAAGCACCAAGTGTGTCTGTTGGCAAGTTGTTGCAGCATTGGTAGAAGGAGAGGACAGATAACAAATGTAATTTGCAGTATCTGAAAGTGAGTAACAAATACTCTTCAGTAACAAATACTGAAAATGAGTAACAAATAACAAATAAGAATTAAATCTTATATAATATGACAGTAATTCTAGTCTAGGTTTTACTGCTTCAAGGAAATTTATTTTTAAACCTACAGATGCGTCAAGAAACATTTGCAGATGTTGCAAATTCCATATGACAATCTTATTTTAGAAAATATAAAGGAGAACATAATACACTTTGCAAACTTCCTGGCAGAAATTCTTTGATGTTGTGTTCGTGTGTGTAAGGCTGTTTCAGCAATTTGAAGTTTGATACTGCTTTTAATAAGCATCAGAGCGCTTAACAGAAAATGTGAACATCATGGAAATTCTTACACTACACAGACTTCTTTAAAGAAATTAATTGTTTCCGTCTGTTACTTGGAAGGCTGTCTTCCATTGTAAGCTTTTGTTTCTTGGATATGTTCTAATTAAACAGTAAAACTTGTGATATCAAGATTTAACAGTTTCAGACTATGCTGGGTCATAAATTACAAATATATGAGTTTAGGCACCTTGCAACCTTGATCATCTTGGTTTCTTCATCAGTCTGCAATTCTAAAAAGTTGATCTAGTTTTCAAGGTTTGGGAGTGGGAGTGAATTCTTTACTTCAACAGCTTTAGAAGGCATGTTGTTATTTTCTTCAATGAAATCACGTTCTTGTAACACAATACTTTTGAACAAATGTCCTATGATAAATTTTTTGCTAACTTGTTGAAATGATAGGTTTGTATGGGTGTTTATATATGGCCTAGGAAAAACTTCTGGTGTCGTTCATGTGGCTTGTTTCCTCTGTCTAGAGAATTTATGTGTACTTCGGTAGAGAGAATGTAGACTTAAATCGTATCAAAACATGCAAGAATTTGGAGATGTTTTGTGGATAATTTAGTTAGGTTTTTTTGTAAAAGTGAATAGTTTGCACAAAACTGGTAAAATATCATTGATCTTAACTGGAAAGGTTGAGTAAGTACATTGGGATGAACCAAATTTGGATTTCCACACATTTCTTTGAACTGAGTCTAAACATTGGGAGATGTCTTCTTAAGTTTTGTCTCATTTTTACCCTCTGGCTGAGCAGCATAAGTGTAGGGCATCTGTCAATGTTCATGGTTATACTAACAAACAAAGCAAGGCCATGACAAGGACTAATACTGCCTTATTGTAGTCTGCACTGTGTAATTGTTAGTGTATCCTTTGATATTACTTTGCTATTTAGTGCTCTCCCAAACAATTTCCAGACTCAGTACAGTGTCCAGCTCATTACAGGGACCATCCAATAAACAAGTTAAATGCAAACACTCTGTTTTAGAGGAGCAGGGAGAAGAGTTTAGCTGTGTGGACACAGGCTTTAATTTTTTTTTTTCTACAGGAATGACCTTTCTTTGTGTTGTAGATGTGGTTCTTGTTTTTCTCAGTTCTGTTTTGTATTCACTGAGAAAGAAACCAATGTGCAGTCCTTCTGCAGAAGCCATTCCAACACAAGGTGCCGAAGCCATGACCTGATGCAGTATGTCTGGACTTTCCTGGGGTACCTCCTGCAGCTACTGCTTCTCTGGTGCTTTTTAGGGGAGAGGTAGGAAAGCTGGCAGGGGATAAGGAGGGAGAGATCAGCAGCAGGCGAGCTTGTAAGCAGTTCCTAACACTTCCTGTGTTTCCCAGTGTCATGCTCTGGTAGCATTTGTCTGAACCTTTAATTTCAGGTATGCCCAGATAGCTCTACAGTCAGCTTTTAACTCCAGTACCTGTGCCCAGTCTTTTCTGTCCCTGATCCACTCTAATTACCGTGCATTTGCGAAGTGCTTAACTCAAGACAACTTACATCTGAAACAGTAAACTCAAAATATATATCATGAAACACCTCCCATTTGTGGTCAATAGCTTTCTGAACTTTGGAAAAGTCCAGAGTAATTTTGTCTTTATTCCTACCCCCATGCCATTTTAGTAGGGGACTGGTTGACTTAGTGGGACAAAAAAGGTTTGGAAGCAGACTGGAGTATGAAAATTAAAAAGTCAACCCCTCCCCAAAAGTATCCAGTTACAAAAATATTAAAAGTGTTTTTCACCCTCCTTTCATTTAAAAACTAAGCTAGTGGTCAAGGTCAGAGCAAACTGAACGGTGGATTGTTCAAAAAATGTATCTTTGAATCAAATTATTCCATAATTTGACAGTTCTATGTGGATGTTTAGTTTTTTCCAAGCAGAATTCTCTCCCCACTGCAGTGTGTCTTCTTGGTGTTTATTTTTCTAACTTCTGTAGAAAAATGTAAAATAAAGCTTATTATAGTAATAACTGAATTCTGTCCTCTTGCTAGAGAGCAAGTGGCTGCAGCCAAGGAAAGCTTTTCTGCAATATTTTTGTTAGAAGAGAAGAGGAATTAGTTGGCAGCTAGCATTAGATTTTTATTCTCATATTTTCCAGTCTAAAGTAACTGGCAACAATTCCTCTTGCTCTGTATCATCTGTTTGCAGGCCTTAATGACTATATAAGGCAACACTGCCTAAATTAATAGTTCCGAGCATACTTGTTTAATGAGTTTACCAGTCTCGTATTTCTGAGTAATGTATGAAGTGTTTGATGCTGCAAGTTCTTACTTTATATGAAACTTCAAAAATACTGTTTTGTTGCTGTTACTGTGAAGAAGGTATGAGAAGTTTAATCAGCTTATAAAATATGTCCAAATATGTAAGGGATTTCAAGAGAGAGAAATTCATGCATTCTAATGTTTTGAAGTAGTCTTTTAAATCTCTGAGCTTCAGTGCTAGAGAGAAGTTAGCACTGTGTAAGTGGTCAGGATTAGTAAGGTTTTTCACATTACTTCTCATTA